CCGCACCTGCTGCCCTCCCTGCAGTGCCAACCACCGAGCCCGTGGCCGTGCCGACCAATTCAGCTGCCGAACCAGACGAGTTACCGACCAAACCGACAGCCGAGCCTGCGAGCCTTCCAGCAGAGCCTGCCACCTTCCCTGCAGTACCAGCAGCCGAGCCTGCAACAGTGCTGACCAAGCCTGCTGCCGAATCTGCCACCTTCCCTGCAGTTCCAACCGCCGAGCCAGTAGCATTGCCTGCCAAGCCTGCTGCTGAGCTTGCAAGATTGCCTGCAGATGCTGCTGCCTTCCCTGCAGTGCCGATTGCCGAACCTGTGATGTTGGTTGCCAAGCCGGCTGCCGAGCCTGCGAGGTTCCCTGCGGATCCTGCCACCTTTCCTGCAGCGCCCACTGCTGAGCCCGCAGCGCTGCCCACCAAGCCTGCTCCCGAACCTGCAAGGCTTCCCACCGAACCTGCTGCCTTTCCTGCAGTGCCTACCGCTGACCCAGCAACACTACCCACCAAGCCTGCTGCCGAACCTGCAGCATTCCCTGCCGAGCCTGCGACCTTCCCTGCAGAGCCGGCCACACTCCCCGCTGCCCTCCCCGCACCAAAAACAGCTCCGGTCACATCCGAAATCAACCCAGCTGGAGCCACATTTAGGTTCGGCGAGCCTCCAAAATTGGCTTGGCGCCTGCCGAGCCTGTGTTGGCACCCGCACCGGCTGCCAAATCGGTAGAGGCAGCGACGGGAGTGGAGGAGATGGGGCCACTGGTGCAGGGGTTGCGAGGGAGGATAGCTGGAGGAGAGGAGGGCTGCAGGGCTATGCCTTGTGCCCTGATGTTGTAGGCTAGGTACAATAACGCTCCCCTGAGGGATTATGCAATGGGGAGAGATGGGAATTGAAAAGATATTATAAATATGATAAATCTTGCTATTCAAGGCGGTGGAAGAGGGGGGGGGGGGGGGGGGGGGGGGAGGTGCTTGAAAACAGAGGATACACTCCCAATGCAAGTCCACAGTACCTTCGGAGGATGCTGATATCAGCCGTGCCGTCAACGTTGGACCTGACGTTGGCGCTTGTCCCGCCGCAAGGGGCTAGGGTCCCATGGAGAGAAGCTGGTGAAACAGAAACAGAACAGAAGAGCATAAATGATAGGAGTAGTAGGCTCTGCAAATACATATTTGGTGCAAGATAGAACGCTATTGAATAAAAAAAAAAAAACAAACAAAAACAAAAACAAAAAGCAAAACAAAACAAAAAAACAAACTGTTGCTTGCGGATCATGCTTGTGAAGGGCTTTGCAGTGACGGAACTCACCCAGAATCTTGGAGCCAATGCCTGGACCGGTGCGAGCAGCGACGGCAGATGGAGGGAGAACGGCTGCTGAAACAATAATCGGACACAAAAAAAAGGGCGAAAAAGGTATGTTGTGACGAGGAACACTCAGCTAATAAGGAATTTTTCTGTGTTATGAGTGAAGTGTGCAGATCAATGCACACATCAAGGGAAATACTATTTCAAAATGACTAACCTGCAAGTGCGATGGTGAGGAGCAGAGTCACAGCTGCACGAGGGAAGAAACGTGCCATGCTGAAAGGTTGGAAAATTGTTCGGTGCTATGAGTGATGGTCAAGAAAAGCAGTGAGTAAAGTGCCTACTCCACTCTGGCTTGGGAAATTTGAGAAGAGCTGTTTGATAGTGGGCTGTGGTGGGCTGTGGAAATTTGAGAAGAGTAAAGTGCCTACTTCACTCTGCTAGCTGTGCTGTGGTGCAAAATGTTGAAATTGTGGGCATTTATCACCCCTACTCTCAGGCCGCGCATTGAACGTGTCGAGTCGCGACGGAATTGAGGTGAAAGGAGCAGCAGCAGAATTGAGGGCTGGCTTTGCTGTTGGGCAGGCCACGTGGTTGCGATGTTACAGTTCGGTGGGGCAGGCTGCCTGCCGAAACCCGCTGTCCACCGAACACATTTTGCGTTGAAAGTGGTCTACGGTCAGGCTAGCCTAACGCACCTCAAATGTACTCGATATATGAAATGGTCAGCTCGTGTGATCTGTTTATTGATACAGTACATATCTCCAACTTCGAAAGAGCTTACGAAGCCACGCTGTGGGACAATTTGTGTTGTGCGGTTCCAGGCTGGTTTGCTGAGGACGCGTCACATCCAACACCGATCCCGTGAAATATCGGCGTGAAGCATCTACAGTGTATTCGCCATTTCGTGAAAGACATGTATCTCGTTGTCGTTAAGCATGTCGCGAAAATCGTGCACACGCATAAAATCCCTGATCGGATGGCTCAAACTGCCACATCGATCGTGCGATTGACAGAGCGGAAATCAAAATCGCCCCACCAGTTCCAGCCACGATCGATCGCCGTCGCATACTGTCGGCCACTTTTGATGTGGTAACTTCGTACCCTGCTTTGTCGCCATCATTTGACAAAGCAGCTTTGTATTTCTCTCTCGTCACAAGCCATGCGAAATTGTATGACTCGCCAGCGAAGCACGGCTCCTGCACTAGTCGCTGGGTGTACAGTTGGCATGGAGATCCCCAACTTGCAAACCTGGTCTTGTCCCACTTGGCTCGGGGAAGCAGCCAACACTGCTCCTGCGGATTGAATTACGTTTTTCGCAAGTCCATGCACACATTCTCGGTTTTTGGAGCCGATCTACCGCGGTGTTGCACATGTGACGCGTCCTGACTCCCTCGTGCCTTTCAGGCTTTTACCGAGCCAACGCGCGAGCTGGCGAAGGTGGTGATCGTGACTTGGGCCAAATCAGTTCCCTTCCGAACCTCTCTGCGTGGCGAATGCCCTGCAATTTGAACCAGGCATATGGGTCCAGCTCGTTGAGCGAGCCTACTTCAGCACCCAACACAAGGCTCGTCAAAACCAGACCGGAACGAGATTGCACGTCATCACGCATTTTGCCTTGCGCCAATTTCGCCCCTCCCGTCGTGCACATCAAGGTTGAACCGCATTGCATTCTCGTGTAGGGAAATGGAAGAGGCTGCCTCATTTGTTTGGTTCGAATCACCGTTTTCCCATCTCGCCCCATCACCTAATCACCTCGTCGATCCCACAATCATCGCGCGAGTCGCCTACAACCAGAAGCTACGCATCGTGGAAAATCGTACCATAAGCTCTAGGTGCGAGTTTATTAGATACGTAAGACGACGAACCCGATAGGACCCAGCGAGCCTCCATGGCGCGACGAGTCACCTCGCTGGCAGCAGCAGCAGCTACTAGTGCACGACATATGGTTGCGAGAAGCATGTTCGAATTGGATAGCAGGCAGGGCAATCGGCCTCCCAAGGCACCACGACCGACTTTCCTACCTCGCTTTATCCGAGAGGATATGGCCTGTTTGCTCGTCAGAGACTTTGTTGCGAGGAGCGAGGCCGCGATGTCCCCGAAAGGATTGTAGGGTGTCTTGACGCGCGTCTGAGGCTCAGGACACGAGCGTTCGCGATGTGCGCGAAGATGGATGGCGATGATGCGACCGATTTTCGCGAATCGTATCAATGTTAGCTTTCCCCGTTCGCGCTGTCTCCAGGCCTGTCCAGTAGAAAGCCATAGGCTCGTGATATAAGACTAGAATATCATGACTTCGTTCTTTTGGAACGAAAAGCGGACGCAAATAGAAGGAAATCGTGGTTTTAGCGCACAACGAAGGCCCCATGAGGGGATTAAGTACCCCTTGGGAGCAGTCCAATAGCGACGTCATCTAAGTACTCTTAGAACGCCTTTTTTTTATTTACTTGGTTGAGTCGCCTTCAATCGAGCAGCAGTAGGCCGACGCCTTAGCTCTCACGTATCCGAGCGGCTATTATTCGAACATACTGAAAGCAGCGCGATTGCGCATACTAGGTACTATTGCGCCTCGTCATGGCGACTCCGTCAGTTTGCTAGGTAATACAATCGCGTGTAGCATCGGGGTTACGCGGTAACCACATGGATACCGCTCTCGGACACATGATCGCAACGTGGGATCGACTCCGCAACACCTCCCCCATTCTAAGCGCCAGCCGTCCTCCTACCTCCCCCGCTCTAACCTCCAGTCGCGCCCCTGCTTTCCCCGCTCCTCCGCCTGTTGCGCAATTCGCGGACTCTCGTCGAGTGAGCCCCTTGCCTGGGGCGACTACGAATAATGATAGTATTAACACGAATAGTAGTGGTGCTACTAGTAGCATGAGGAACACGCCTTTAGAGACGTCTCAAAACGTGATTTCGTTGCCGGGAAGTAATTTTCGCAATACTGGTAATAATGACAATACTGGCGATGCTAGTAGCGCCAGGCAAGCGAGTTGGAGCCGTGGCGGCTCGGACTGGCGAGAGGAGGGAGGAAGGAGGTTTCTCAACGCTTTTGGCGGGAAAGAGGCGTTACATGTGGTGGAAGCTCGAAGCGCGGCGCGTAATATCGACTCAGTAGACGATTTTTCGCGCTGGGAAGCCGCGACCGCGCGGCTTCATAACGGCCTAGAAGGCAAATTCTCGTGTGGTCGCCACGCCGCTGCCGCGACACAGACTTAGCGAGCGCTGCTCATGTGGGAGTAAAATGGCCTTCTGCCCCGTCCGTCAGAAGCGGCGAAAAGCCAATCAGATCTTTGAGTTCTCCAAGCTCGGCTTATCCTCGCTACAGGTTGCTGGCTAGATAAGTAAGAAAGGAAGCAATGGTTCTGTGGTGAACTTGTTGTTGTGATCATTGCTAAGGTGTATATAAACGAGAAACGTCCCTGCTCAGTCACAACAAATTGAACGTTGTACTAGCATGTGACAAGCATGTCACATTCGATACGGTACTTGCATTCCTTTGACACATGGCCATATGGTGCACGCCCTGAAACAGTATGTGTCTCATCCATAGGACCAAATCTAAACCCTGAACAGCCAGAAATGATACACCGTTTACACATTCGCTACTACACATCATCTCAACGATCTCCTTCTGTATTGCTACCTGTCAAATTGCAACTTCCCTGAAGATAATGCTACTGCCCCTTTCATCCCTCCCTCTTACTGCACCAGATCTGCAACGACGTTCAGCTGGCCGTGAAAGCGGAGGAGTATGGAGAGAGGCGCAGAGGAGGAATTTTGATTCCCCTACAGTATGACCCTTCCACGCCCCCCTTCCCTTACCCTCCCCTCGTCCCTCTTACTGCACCAGATCTGCAACGAAGTTCTGCTGGCCATTGAGGCGGACGAGGAGGGAGAGAGGCGTGGAGGAGGAGGAGATGCGTGCGAGGAGAGAGGCAGCGAGGGAGGAGGACAGCTGCATCTCCCCTGCCATTGCAAACACAGTGCTTGCAGCCGCATTGACAGCCGCATTGACAGCCGCAGCAGCACCGCCAGCAGCATTCGCACCGACAGTCGCAGCACCAGCAGCTGTCGCAGCCGCAGCACCGCCAGCAGCAGCACGAGCAGCGGTAGCTGCAGTGGCGTCAGCATTGACGTTGCCTGCTGCAGTCACCCAAGCACCAGGCAGGACCACCAGAGGAGTCAGAACCGAAGGCACTGAGCCAACTGCCGAGCCTGCAAGGTTAGCCGCCGAGCCTGCTGCCTTCCCTGCTGCACCAACTGCCTTTCCTTTGGCGCTAACCACCGAGCCTGCGGTGTTACCCACCAAGCCTCCTGCCAAGCCTGCAGCCTTACCAGCAGTGCCAGTGGCCAAACCTGCAGTATTCCCCACCAAGCCTGTTGCCGAGCCTGCAAGGTTCCCCACCGCACCCGCTGCCCTCCCTGCAGTGCCAACCCCCGAGCCTGCAGCAGTGCCAACCAATCCAGCTGCCGAACCAGACGAGTTGCCGACCAATCCAGCTGCCGAGCCCGCAAGCCTCCCAGCAGAGCCTGCCACCTTTCCTGCAGTACCAGCAGCAGAGCCTGCAACAGTGCTGACCAAGCCTGCTGCGGAATCTGCCACCTTCCCTGCAGTTCCAACCGCCGAGCCAGTAGCATTGCCTGCCAAGCCTGCTGCTGAGCTTGCGAGATTGCCTACAGATCCTGCTGCCTTTCCTGCAGTGCCGATGGCCGAACCTGCAAGGTTGGTTGCCATGCCGGCTGTCGAGCCTGTAAGGTTCCCTGCAGATCCAACCACCTTTCCTGCAGCGCCCACTGCTGAGCCCGCAGCGCTGCCCACCAAGCCTGCTCCCGAACCTGCAAGGCCTCCCACCGAACCTGCTGCCTTTCCTGCAGTGCCTACCGCCGACCCAGCAACATTACCCATCAAGCCTGCTGCCGAACCTGCAGCCTTCCCTGCAGAGCCCGCCACATTGAGGCTTGGCGAGCCTCCAAGACTGGCTCGGGCACCTGCCGAGCCTGTGTCGTCGCCCGCACCGGTTTCTACATTAGTCGAGGCAGTAAGGGGAGTGGAGGAGAGGGGGCCACTGGCGCAGGGGTTGCGAGGGAGGATGGCCGGAGGAGAGGAGGGCTGCAGGGCTATGCCTTGTGCTCTGATCTTGTAGGCTAGGTACACCGACGCGCCCCTGAGGGATTATGCGATGGGGAGAGATGGTAATCGAAAATATATTATTAATATCATATCAAGATGGCAATCTTGCTATTGAAGGTGGTGGAAGAGGCGGGGGAGGGGGGGGGGGGGGGGAGGTGCTTGAAAACAGAGGATACACTCCCAATGCAAGTTCGCAGTACCTTCGGAGGATGTTGATATCAGCCGTGCCATCAACGTCGGACCTGACGTCGGCGCTCGTCCCGCCACAAGGGGCTAGGGTCCCATGGAGAGATGCTGGTGAAACATAAACACAACATAAGAGCAGAAAAACTTTGAGCATTAGCTCTGGAATTTTATATTCTAAGCAAGGTACATCTCTATTGAATTATGGAAAAAAATGTCGCTAGCGGATCATGCTTGTGAAGGGCTTTGCAGTAAATTGGGTTTGAACGGAGCTCACCCAGAATCTTTGAGCCGATGCTGGGACCAGTGCGAGCAGCGAGGGCAGACGGAGGGGGTACGGCTGCTGAAGAAATAAGCGGACACCAAAAACAAAGGGCGAAAAAAGTGTGATGTGTAGAGGAACATTCAGGTGGTAAGGAATTTTATGTGTCATGAGTGAAGTTTGCCTAATCAGAGTACAGCTAGGGAAATCGTTGTGACCTGGTTGCTATGCAGAATGACTAACCTGCAAGTGCTATGGTGAGGAGCAGAGTCACAGCTGCACGAGGGAAGAAACGAGCCATGCTTAAGGTTGGGAAATTGCCCTGTGCTGTGAGTGATGGTGCAGCAAAGCAGTGAGAGAAGTGCCTCCCTGAACCAAGGTTTGGGTTGGAAATTTTGCGAAGAGCTGTCTGAAGCAGATATGGTTAGCTTTGGTGCAAAATGTTGTAAATGTGGGTATTTATGGACCCCACTTCCGGGCCGCGCATTGTACTTCCCGAATCGCGACGGAATGGAGGTGAAAGGAGCAGCAGCAGAAAACCACGGGCAGGCCACGTGGCGGCGATGTTTGACCTACAGTGCGGTGGGGCAGACTGCCTGCCGAAACCCGCTGTGCACCGAACTCATTTTGCGTTGAAAGCAGTCTACGGTCAGGCTAACCTAACGCACCACGAACTCACTCGATGTTAAGAACTAGCTAGCTTGTGTGGTAGTGTATCGTTTGCAATTATCACACATGTCTACGCGGAATAATATGGGCCTTGCCGTATGCAGAACTTGGCGAAGTGCGGATGTCAGGCTGCTTAGCTGACTCGCTCTTGCCTTACAGGTTTTTCCCGAGCCAACACACAAGCTGATGAAGGTGATGTGTCGTGACTTAGGCCAAACCAGCTCCCTGCCGAACCTCCACGCCTAGCAAACACCAGACAAGTCGAACAAGGCATGTGGGTCCAGCTCGCTGAACAAGCCTAGGTCAGCAACCAGACCTAGGCTCGTCGAATCCAAACCAGAACAAGTTTGCACGTCAGGCACGAATTTGCCATCGCGCCGATTTCGCCCGACCTGTCCTGCACATCAAGGTTGAACCGCATCGCATTCTCCTGCAGAGGAATGAAAGGGACTCGCCCATTTGTTTGGTTCGAGTCACCCATTTCCTCGAGTAAAGACTGTCGAGGTTTTTCTGGGTGCAGGGCGTACGAATGAAATCCTTCACAGCAAACTATGAAATCCTTGCGGGTAGTTTCAATTTGTTGGTGCACCAGTTGCTCCACATTTCTTCCGCCCAAACCCATCACGTTGTTGTTCCCACAATCATCGCGCGTTCGCCTGCGACCAGGGGCTACTCAAAGTGAGAAATCGTAGTATCAGCTCTCATCCTCTGGTCTGGAGGTGGGTGAGTTGGGTGATCGACGAACCCGATAGAAAAGAACCCAACGAGGCTCAATGGCGCGACGAGTCACCTCGCCGGCGGCAGCAGCAGCACTAACTAGCAGCGCACAACATGTGGTTGCGAGAGATGTTCGAATCGGATAGCAGGCACGACACTTGTGCTTCCCAATTCCTTCGAGAGGATATGGCATGTTTGCTTGACAGAGAATTAGTACGAGAAGAGAGGCCGTGATGTCCTAAAAGGATTGTAGGGTATTGAGGCGCGTCAGAGGTTTAGGACTCCTGCGTTTGCGATGTCTGCGAAGATGGATGGCGATGACGCGACGATATTTCCGCGTATCTCACGCGGTGTTCATCGGAACAAACAGCAGTCCTAAACCAGTAGAAATACATGGCCTCGCTATCTAGGACAGGAAAATCGTGTCTTGTTTTTTTTTTTTGGATCGAGGAGTGGACGCAACAAGAAGGAAGAAGTAATCTCGACGCACACAAAAGCCCCATGGGTCAGTCTGCTTACCGTTACTCGCCCGGACCTAGAGACACCCTTCGGAGCAGCCTGCGTGCCAACTGATTTATTTTCGTTACTTGGTTGAGGCGCCTTCGCGCTCAGATATCCGAGCGGCTAGTATTCGAGGTTACTGACAGCAGCGCGCTTGCGAGTACTAAGTACTATTGCCCCTCGTTATGGCGACATTTTCCTAGGTAATACCGAATCGAATTGCGTGGTAACCTCATCGATACCGCACTCTGCCACATGATAGCGACGTGGGATCGACTCCGCAGCGCCTCCCCCATTCTAAGCGCCAGCCGCCCCCTCCTTCCGCTGCTCCAAGCGCCAGCCGCCCTCCTCCTTCCGCTGCTCCAAGCGCCAGCCGCCCCCCTCCTTTCCCCGCTCCTCCGCCTGCTGCGCAATTCGCTGACTCTCGTCAAGTGAGCCCCTTGCCCATAGTCAATATGAATTGTAGTGGTGCTAGTACGAATATTAGTGGTGCTAGTACGAATAGTAGTTGTGTGCTAGTACGAATATTAGCTTTGTCAGTTCGGACAGGCGAGAAGAGGGAAGAAGGAGGCTTTTCAACGCTTTAGGTATTAGCTTTCGCAGAAACCACATTACAATACAACTACACTTTCAACAGAATATATAAACGCCTTGCACAGTCGCACCACTATACACCATTTCAGCAAACCCAAGAGCAATCCCCATGCAGACCTTTTCTCTCATGTGAGACTCGGCATCTGCCCTGCCATCTCATCCCTCCAGCTGCACCACCAAGCCAGAGCCTCAACCAAGCACAGTTGGGAGCTGGAGGAGGGGGAGAGGCACAGAGGAAGAGCAGCAGTACGGAGGAGGACCAGAGGCATGGAACGTTCCCCCAATCTCCCTCCGCCTGTCCAGCAACCTTTCCCGTCCTTGCCCCTGCCCCTTCCCACACCTCCCCTCCCCCCTCCACCCGCTTCCGCCCCGACCTACTGCGGCAGAGCAGCCACCTTCACCCCCTTACCCTCCTCTGCCCCTCTTCCCCTTCCTACTGCACCAGAGCAGCCACCTTCACCCTCTCACCCTCCTCTGCCCCTTCCCACCCCTCCCCTCCCCCCTCCACCCGCTTCCGCCCCGACCTACTGCAGCAGAGCAGCCACACCCACCCACTTACCCTCCTCTGCCCCTCTTCCTCTTCCTACTGCAGCAGAGCAGCAACAAGGCTCTGCTGGCCGTTCAGGCGGAGGAGGAGGGACAGAGGCGTGGAGGAGGAGATGTGAGCGAGCAGAGTGGCAGCGAGGGAGGAAGACAGCTGCGTCTCTCCAGCCATTGCAAACACGGTGCTTGCAGCCCTATTAACAGCAGCAGCAACACTGCCAGCAGCAGGGCCAGCAGCAGTGGCAGTAACAGAAGGAGCACGAACGGTGGCCGCAGTAGTAGCACCGCCAACAACACGAGCAGCAGCGGCACCGGCAGCACCAGCAGCAGTGGCTGCAGCATTGACGTTGCCTGCTGCAGTCACCCAAGCACCAGGCAGGACCACCAGAGGAGTCAAAACCGAAGGCACCGAGCCAACTGCCGAACCTGCAAGGTTAGCCGCCGAGCCTTCTGCCTTTCCTGCTGCGCCTGCTGCTGTCCCCGCTGCACCAACTGCCTTTCCTGCAGTGCTAACGAGTGAACCTGCAGTGTCCCCAACCAAGCCTGTGGCCGAGCCTGCAGCCTTACCAGCAGTTCTGGTGGCCAAACCTGCAGTATCCCCCACCAAGCCTGTTGCCGAGCCTGCAAGGTTCCCTGCCGCACCTGCTGCCCTCCCTGCAGTGCCAACCGCCGAGCCTGTGGCCGTGCCGACCAAGCCTGCTGCCGAACCAGAAGAGTTACCGACCAAACCGACAGCCGAGCCTGCGAGCCTTCCAGCAGAGCCTGCCACCTTCCCTGCAGTACCAGCAGCCGAGGCTGCAACAGTGCTGACCAAGCCTGCTCCTGAACCTGCCACCTTCCCTGCAGTTCCAACCGTCGAGCCTGTAGTGTTGGCTGCCAACCTTGCTGCCGAGCTTGCAAGATTGCCTGCAGATGCTGCTGCCTTCCCTGCAGTGCCGATTGCCGAACCTGTGATGTTGGTTGCCAAGCCGGCTGCCGAGCCTGCGAGGTTCCCTGCGGATCCTGCCACCTTTCCTGCAGCGCCCACTGCTGAGCCCGCAGCGCTGCCCACCAAGCCTGCTCCCGAACCTGCAAGGCTTCCCACCGAACCTGCTGCCTTTCCTGCAGTGCCTACCGCTGACCCAGCAACACTACCCACCAAGCCTGCTGCCGAACCTGCAGCATTCCCTGCCGAGCCTGCGACCTTCCCTGCAGAGCCGGCCACACTCCCCGCTGCCCTCCCCGCACCAAAAACAGCTCCGGTCACATCCGAAATCAACCCAGCTGGAGCCACATTTAGGTTCGGCGAGCCTCCAAAATTGGCTTGGGCGCCTGCCGAGCCTGTGTTGGCACCCGCACCGGCTGCCAAATCGGTAGAGGCAGCGACGGGAGTGGAGGAGATGGGGCCACTGGTGCAGGGGTTGCGAGGGAGGATAGCTGGAGGAGAGGAGGGCTGCAGGGCTATGCCTTGTGCCCTGATGTTGTAGGCTAGGTACAATAACGCTCCCCTGAGGGATTATGCAATGGGGAGAGATGGGAATTGAAAAGATATTATAAATATGATAAATCTTGCTATTCAAGGCGGTGGAAGAGGGGGGGGGGGGGGGGGGGGGGGGGGGGGGGGGAGGTGCTTGAAAACAGAGGATACACTCCCAATGCAAGTCCACAGTACCTTCGGAGGATGCTGATATCAGCCGTGCCGTCAACGTTGGACCTGACGTTGGCGCTTGTCCCGCCGCAAGGGGCTAGGGTCCCATGGAGAGAAGCTGGTGAAACAGAAACAGAACAGAAGAGCATAAATGATAGGAGTAGTAGGCTCTGCAAATACATATTTGGTGCAAGATAGAACGCTATTGAATAAAAAAAAAAAAAAACAAAAAAACAAAAACAAAAAGCAAAACAAAACAAAAAAACAAACTGTTGCTTGCGGATCATGCTTGTGAAGGGCTTTGCAGTGACGGAACTCACCCAGAATCTTGGAGCCAATGCCTGGACCGGTGCGAGCAGCGACGGCAGATGGAGGGAGAACGGCTGCTGAAACAATAATCGGACACAAAAAAAAGGGCGAAAAAGGTATGTTGTGACGAGGAACACTCAGCTAATAAGGAATTTTTCTGTGTTATGAGTGAAGTGTGCAGATCAATGCACACATCAAGGGAAATACTATTTCAAAATGACTAACCTGCAAGTGCGATGGTGAGGAGCAGAGTCACAGCTGCACGAGGGAAGAAACGTGCCATGCTGAAAGGTTGGAAAATTGTTCGGTGCTATGAGTGATGGTCAAGAAAAGCAGTGAGTAAAGTGCCTACTCCACTCTGGCTTGGGAAATTTGAGAAGAGCTGTTTGATAGTGGGCTGTGGTGGGCTGTGGAAATTTGAGAAGAGTAAAGTGCCTACTTCACTCTGCTAGCTGTGCTGTGGTGCAAAATGTTGAAATTGTGGGCATTTATCACCCCTACTCTCAGGCCGCGCATTGAACGTGTCGAGTCGCGACGGAATTGAGGTGAAAGGAGCAGCAGCAGAATTGAGGGCTGGCTTTGCTGTTGGGCAGGCCACGTGGTTGCGATGTTACAGTTCGGTGGGGCAGGCTGCCTGCCGAAACCCGCTGTCCACCGAACACATTTTGCGTTGAAAGTGGTCTACGGTCAGGCTAGCCTAACGCACCTCAAATGTACTCGATATATGAAATGGTCAGCTCGTGTGATCTGTTTATTGATACAGTACATATCTCCAACTTCGAAAGAGCTTACGAAGCCACGCTGTGGGACAATTTGTGTTGTGCGGTTCCAGGCTGGTTTGCTGAGGACGCGTCACATCCAACACCGATCCCGTGAAATATCGGCGTGAAGCATCTACAGTGTATTCGCCATTTCGTGAAAGACATGTATCTCGTTGTCGTTAAGCATGTCGCGAAAATCGTGCACACGCATAAAATCCCTGATCGGATGGCTCAAACTGCCACATCGATCGTGCGATTGACAGAGCGGAAATCAAAATCGCCCCACCAGTTCCAGCCACGATCGATCGCCGTCGCATACTGTCGGCCACTTTTGATGTGGTAACTTCGTACCCTGCTTTGTCGCCATCATTTGACAAAGCAGCTTTGTATTTCTCTCTCGTCACAAGCCATGCGAAATTGTATGACTCGCCAGCGAAGCACGGCTCCTGCACTAGTCGCTGGGTGTACAGTTGGCATGGAGATCCCCAACTTGCAAACCTGGTCTTGTCCCACTTGGCTCGGGGAAGCAGCCAACACTGCTCCTGCGGATTGAATTACGTTTTTCGCAAGTCCATGCACACATTCTCGGTTTTTGGAGCCGATCTACCGCGGTGTTGCACATGTGACGCGTCCTGACTCCCTCGTGCCTTTCAGGCTTTTACCGAGCCAACGCGCGAGCTGGCGAAGGTGGTGATCGTGACTTGGGCCAAATCAGTTCCCTTCCGAACCTCTCTGCGTGGCGAATGCCCTGCAATTTGAACCAGGCATATGGGTCCAGCTCGTTGAGCGAGCCTACTTCAGCACCCAACACAAGGCTCGTCAAAACCAGACCGGAACGAGATTGCACGTCATCACGCATTTTGCCTTGCGCCAATTTCGCCCCTCCCGTCGTGCACATCAAGGTTGAACCGCATTGCATTCTCGTGTAGGGAAATGGAAGAGGCTGCCTCATTTGTTTGGTTCGAATCACCGTTTTCCCATCTCGCCCCATCACCTAATCACCTCGTCGATCCCACAATCATCGCGCGAGTCGCCTACAACCAGAAGCTACGCATCGTGGAAAATCGTACCATAAGCTCTAGGTGCGAGTTTATTAGATACGTAAGACGACGAACCCGATAGGACCCAGCGAGCCTCCATGGCGCGACGAGTCACCTCGCTGGCAGCAGCAGCAGCTACTAGTGCACGACATATGGTTGCGAGAAGCATGTTCGAATTGGATAGCAGGCAGGGCAATCGGCCTCCCAAGGCACCACGACCGACTTTCCTACCTCGCTTTATCCGAGAGGATATGGCCTGTTTGCTCGTCAGAGACTTTGTTGCGAGGAGCGAGGCCGCGATGTCCCCGAAAGGATTGTAGGGTGTCTTGACGCGCGTCTGAGGCTCAGGACACGAGCGTTCGCGATGTGCGCGAAGATGGATGGCGATGATGCGACCGATTTTCGCGAATCGTATCAATGTTAGCTTTCCCCGTTCGCGCTGTCTCCAGGCCTGTCCAGTAGAAAGCCATAGGCTCGTGATATAAGACTAGAATATCATGACTTCGTTCTTTTGGAACGAAAAGCGGACGCAAATAGAAGGAAATCGTGGTTTTAGCGCACAACGAAGGCCCCATGAGGGGATTAAGTACCCCTTGGGAGCAGTCCAATAGCGACGTCATCTAAGTACTCTTAGAACGCCTTTTTTTTATTTACTTGGTTGAGTCGCCTTCAATCGAGCAGCAGTAGGCCGACGCCTTAGCTCTCACGTATCCGAGCGGCTATTATTCGAACATACTGAAAGCAGCGCGATTGCGCATACTAGGTACTATTGCGCCTCGTCATGGCGACTCCGTCAGTTTGCTAGGTAATACAATCGCGTGTAGCATCGGGGTTACGCGGTAACCACATGGATACCGCTCTCGGACACATGATCGCAACGTGGGATCGACTCCGCAACACCTCCCCCATTCTAAGCGCCAGCCGTCCTCCTACCTCCCCCGCTCTAACCTCCAGTCGCGCCCCTGCTTTCCCCGCTCCTCCGCCTGTTGCGCAATTCGCGGACTCTCGTCGAGTGAGCCCCTTGCCTGGGGCGACTACGAATAATGATAGTATTAACACGAATAGTAGTGGTGCTACTAGTAGCATGAGGAACACGCCTTTAGAGACGTCTCAAAACGTGATTTCGTTGCCGGGAAGTAATTTTCGCAATACTGGTAATAATGACAATACTGGCGATGCTAGTAGCGCCAGGCAAGCGAGTTGGAGCCGTGGCGGCTCGGACTGGCGAGAGGAGGGAGGAAGGAGGTTTCTCAACGCTTTTGGCGGGAAAGAGGCGTTACATGTGGTGGAAGCTCGAAGCGCGGCGCGTAATATCGACTCAGTAGACGATTTTTCGCGCTGGGAAGCCGCGACCGCGCGGCTTCATAACGGCCTAGAAGGCAAATTCTCGTGTGGTCGCCACGCCGCTGCCGCGACACAGACTTAGCGAGCGCTGCTCATGTGGGAGTAAAATGGCCTTCTGCCCCGTCCGTCAGAAGCGGCGAAAAGCCAATCAGATCTTTGAGTTCTCCAAGCTCGGCTTATCCTCGCTACAGGTTGCTGGCTAGATAAGTAAGAAAGGAAGCAATGGTTCTGTGGTGAACTTGTTGTTGTGATCATTGCTAAGGTGTATATAAACGAGAAACGTCCCTGCTCAGTCACAACAAATTGAACGTTGTACTAGCATGTGACAAGCATGTCACATTCGATACGGTACTTGCATTCCTTTGACACATGGCCATATGGTGCACGCCCTGAAACAGTATGTGTCTCGCGTTTGGTAACAATTACATGTTGTTTTAACGCGTTTGGTAACTCGCTTAACACGTTTGGTAACTCTACACTAGCACCCGATCACGCGAATGGTAACTAGAAGAAACCCTCGCCCAAAATGATATCGATTCTGGTTTTTCCCGCCCGCGCCAGACTAAAATGACGAACCTTGATGAACCAAGTTCTGACACAATTTTCGAAATTCTGACACACTTTCTGAAAGAAAAGTGAATTATCACAACGTATCTGTTGCAGGATTTTTTTTAACAAAATACTGCTTTTCTGGCGCACGTTTACGAAATTATACAAATATAATTCTGTCCTACTTCCGAGCTCTAAAAACTACATAGCCCTTTCCGAAAGCAAATGATTGGGAAAATATGTCAATGGTAACTTTTATGGGGCGCTAAAACGCGTACGGTAACCATTAGCTGTTGTTTTAACGCGTTTGGTAACTCGCTTAACACGTTTGGTAACTCTACATACGCTACCACCCGATCACGCGAATGGTAACTAGAAGAAACCCTCGCCCAAAATGATATCGATTCTGGTTTTTCCCGCCCGCGCAAGACTAAATTGACGAATCTTGATGCTTTAAGTTCTGACACAATTCTCGGATTTCTGACACACTTTCCGAAACAAAAGTTGTTTACAAAAAAGTGTCTATTTTAGAAACGTTTTTAAACTTTAAAGTCTATTTTCGCGCTCATCCAGGAGCAGCAGCAGCAGCAGGGGGAGATGGTGCGGGGACAGTCTTAGACTCGCTCACTGTGCTGCACTCTGAGTACAAATATCATTCTATCGACCTTCCGACCGCAAAAAAAAGAGAGAAATTTTTGAAATAGATAGAGCCATTTCTTATCTTTATTTAGCTCGGACAAATGATACGAACGAATAAATCATATTTTTGCTTGCATAATTGCATACTTGCAAAATGATAAAAAATTCCCGGTAATGCAAACAATATTTTTGCAATTATTGTAACATGGGATAATTTTGCGGTTCGAGAAAAAATACAAAAAAGTCCAAATACAAAAAATCCATATGTCTTTTCGCACGGATTTTACGGTTGATGCTCTCAAAATCATTTGGGGAAAATATGTCAATGGTAACTTTTATGGGGCACTTGATTGACATATTTTCCCTAAAAGAAATAGCTAGCTTGTGTGGTAGTGTATCAATTGGAAAAATCACATATGTCTATGCGGAATAATACGGGCCTTGTTCAAAGATCCTGCAAAGTGCTCGATATAAGAACTGGTCAGCTCGTGCGATCTGTTTATTGATACATAACTCCAACTTCGTAAGAGCTTACGAAGCCGCGGTGTGGGGCAATTTGTGTTGTGCGGTCCCAGGCTGGTTTGCTGACTCCCTCGTGCCTTTCAGGCTTTTACCGAGCCAGCTTGCGAGCTGGTGAAGGTGGTGAATCGTGACTTGGGCCAAATCAGTTCCCTTCCGAACCTCTCTGCTTGGCGAATGCCCTGCAATTCGAACCAGGCATATGGGTCCAGCTCGTTGAGCGAGCCTAGTTCAGCACCCAACACTAGGCTCGTCAAAACCAAACCGGAACGAGATTGCACGTCAGCACGCATTTTGCCTTGCGCCAATTTCGCCCCTCCCGTCGTGCACATCAAGGTTGAACCGCATCGCATTCCCGTGCAGGGAAATGGAAGGTGCTGCCTCATTTGTTTGGTTCGAATCACCCTTTTCCCCGAGTAATGTACTGATAGTCGAGGTTTTCCGGAGGTAAATTTACCCAGCGATGGGCTATATGACTACACTGACGTATTAATTCGATCTCCAGGATATTCTTTCAGCTTCCCTTCTGTTTTGGGTAGTTTCAATCTGTTGGTGCACCAAAGCTGGTCCACATTGTTGCGCCCAAGCCCATCTCGCCCCATCACCAAATCACCTTGTCGATCCCACAATCATCGCGCGAGTCGCCTACAACCAGAAGCTACGCATTGTGGAAAATCGTAAGCTCTAGGTGCGAGTTTATCAGATACGGAAGACGACGAACTCGATTGGACCCAGCGAGCCTCTATGGCGCGACGAGTCACCTCGCTGGCAGCAGCAGCAGCTACTAGTGCGGCACGACATGTGGTTGCGAGAAGCATGTTCGAATCGGATAGCAGGCAGGGCAATCGTCCTCCCAAGGCACGACGACAGACTTTCGTACCTCACTTTATCCGAGAGGATATGGCCTGTTTACTCGTCAGAGACTTTGTTACGAGGAGCGAGGCCGCGATGTCCCCGCGCGTCTGAGGCTTAGGACACGAGCGTTCGCGATGTGCGCGAAGATGGATGGCATGCGACCGATTTTCGCGAATCGTATCTATGTTAGCTTTCCCCGTTCGCGCTGTATTTTGGACAAAAGCCAGGCTTGTCCGTAGAAAGCCATAGGCTCGTGATATAAGACTAGAATATCATGACTTCGTTATTTTGGAACGAAAAGCGGACGCAAATAGAAGGAAGTCGTGGTTTTAGCGCACAACGAACGCCCCATGAGAGGATTAAGTACAATAGCGACGTCATTTAAGTACTCATAGAACGCCTTATTTTTATTTACTTGGTTGAGTCGCCTTCAATCGAGTAGCAGTAGGCCGTCGCCTTAGCTCTCACGTATCCGAGCGGCTATTATTCGAACATACTGAAAGCAGCGCGATTGCGCATGCTAGGTACTATTGCGCCTCGTCATGGCGACTCCGTCAGTTTGCTAGGTAATACAATCGCGTGTAGTATCGGGGTTACGCGGTAACCACATGGATACCGCTCTCGGACACATGATCGCAACGTGGGATCGACTCCGCAACACCTCCCCCATTCTAAG